AATATCAATAAAATTTTATCTATTGGGCCAAAAAGTGTAAAAAATTAATACAAGTCTCCTGATATATTGAAGAGCAGTTGAAAAATATTAAAAATACATAGGCACAGTTTTTTTTTATAAGCATTTAAAGATCGAATTTTGACAAAATGTATCAAAATCTCGAAAATTATAAATCATTGTAATTAATAAATTATAAAATGTTCAGTTTTTATAGCTAAGTATTGCAAATTTAAAACAAAGGTTCTCATAAATAGTTCATACTGTAACCAAAAAATCTAAAAAATATATGAACACAGTTATTTTTATTATTATCAGCAACACGTCTAAGTGCAGTTGTAATTTCTTTCATCAAACCACTTTGCATTACTTCGTCGATCAAATTCAGTTCGTATAACTTTCTTCCAGTGCAAAAATATCGGGCACAATTAGAGTGTTTGCCAAATATATGGTATGGACTATTTAAAATATCCTTTCGCAAATTATATTCAATTTATAATATGTACCACTTTACCTGGTTGTGGCTTAGATTGTCTACATTGAATGATTTCTGTTAATTGTTATAAATGGTTTTTTGAGTACCTACCTATTTCTTTTTTTTATCATACCCAAATTGTTCGATAATTCAAGTAATACGGCCTATTTAAATAGTTTACAGCAAAACTACCTATTATAAAAGTTTTAGAGAAGAATTTTTTCAACAATTGAAATAAGCTCGATTTTTTATATTTTTATTAATAAGTTAAATAATTAATCGATAAAAAGTAAAAAAAAAAAATGTTAATTTACCATGCGATATTGGACGATTGGAATACGATATCAAAAATCGGATTTATTACGATTGTTAAAAAAATTCTCCTCTACCACTTTTATAATAGGTATTTTTACTGTAAACCTCTTCAATAAGCCGTATTAATTGAAGAACAAAAGTAGTTTTTATTTGTATAAAATTCGGATAAGAAGAGTTTGGCCTAGTGAACAAAATATGGTTTCGTAATTCAAGTAATACGGCTTATTGAAGCAGTTAACAGTAAAAATACCTATTATAAAAGTTGGAGAGAAGAATTTTTTTAATAATCGAAATAAGCCCGATTTTTTATATTTTTATTAATGAGTTAAATAATTAATCGATAAAAAGTAAAAAAAAAAAAATTGTTAATTTATCATGCGATATTGGACGATTGGAATACGATATCAAAAATCGGATTCCTTACGATTGTTAAAAAAATTCTCCTCTACAATTTTTATAATAGGTATTTTTATTGCAAACCGCTTCAATAAGCCGTATTACACTATTACCTACTTGAAGAACAAAAGTATAGTTTTTATTTGTATAAAATTCGGATACGAATACAAAATATAAAATCGAACCAAATTAAATATTATTTGTCACAAATATAATAATCATTTTCTTATCTGGTTATTTATAAACTATGCACGGGCGGTCGGCTGCGATAGAGAACCTGTTTTGACCATGGTGCGGTACCGCCGTTAATGCGCGCGGGGTGGTGGTATGCACAGCTAGTATCGAACGCTGCCACTGACTACGGGCGCAGCACTTGCCGAGCGTAATTTTCTGCAGTTTTCTTATAAAACATACTTTGCGCGTTCCAATAATATGGGTTACTGAGTGGCTTAATCGTAAAAACACCTATGAACAAAATTAAAGATAATAATATTTTCGAGGGCCCCACGTAGGTTTTTTTCTTTGTTCCAAATATTAAGCTCAGTACATCGTTTAAAAATAATGATTTTTTCAACATGTTAAAATGACAGTAACTTTTCAAAAAATTAATTTTTTGAAAAAAGGCTACGTGGGGCCCTCGAAAATATTATTATCTTTAATTTTGTTAATAGGTGTTTATGTCCTAAAACCACTCTGGAGTGCAAAATTTGGAATCTAAGCGAGCATGTTTTTGGTATTGAAAACGCCGGTACTACGTCCTCTTAACGGATGCAATGTCGCAATCATTATAGAGTATTACTATATGATAACATTGCTGATAACATTTAACAAGCGGTACGTTTTACAATATTTTGTACAATATTTTTTTTATCAATAACGAAGGCCCTGTTAAATATCCACATTTTGTGCATCAATTAGTTAACATGGGCGATATACCCAACGGCCTCTCTATATTACTCTATGGTTCGACTATACATTTATTGATAAAACAAACCGTGTACAATCAATGATAACCAAATACTATGTGGGTACAAGTGAATAGACTGGCCACTGGGTACCTCGTACCTAATATTATTAAATAATATTGTTGTTTAAACATTTTTTTTCGTTTTTGTTTATATTGTTTTGTTATTGTTATTACGATTTATTGTATTTTGCTGTTAGTGTTAATTATATTTTTAATAGTACATTATAATTTATATATTACCTATATAATATATTACCTAATACAATATTATATTACGTTTTTACATGACAATGACTGATTTAGTTTAAGAAATATGTTGGTGTTTAATTATAATTAAGATAAATCAGTGCAACTTGAGATTTAGGTAAGAAATATAATCATGTTACAATTAGTCATTGCTTCTGTTATTGTTATTACCATTTATTACTTATTATATTTTGTCAACAAGGTGGTTGAAGGTTATTTTTTACTGATATATTGACCAATTATTAACCATTAATTTGATACAAACTGTTATAATTAGTTTCACAAATCAATGTTAAACAAGAAAATACAATAATTGATCAGATGTTACCATAAATATTTTCTAAACTATAGTAGTTATAGACTTGTGTGTAGTGCAAATATAGCTCATATTGTTAATTTCTTACAAATAATGGATGTTAAAACGCTAGTTAAATGCACTTTTCATTTCTTTTTCTTTTTCTTGATAATTTTATAATAATTCAGTTGGTTGGAATAAATATTTAGGTCTACCTCTATAAACTTGCATATTTAATAGTACCTACATTCCTCTAACTAGGTAGATAGTAGATTAAGTATATTGCAATATACCTTTTTATTTATTGTATTCATTATTGTTATGTTTAGGTACTCTTATTGCATTTTACAAATATTTAATATTAGGTAGGTACTAGGTACCTACGATCATATTTCATAACTTCAATTAGAAACATGAATAATTTGAAAATACTTTGAAATTTAAAGTATAGGCAATAGTCAATAATTAGTTAATTGTACTAGGTGTACATTAGGATTTCAAAATGATAGGTATTTGTAATAAAGAAAATATAAAAACTGTCCTATTTTAACCTTTACCTAGGTACTATAAAGTATAAATTACTTAATTGGATTATACCTTTTATTATTATATTATGGTAAATCAAAAAATTACTTAAGTTTTATTTTTCTCTAGTTATATAATTTTAAACAAGATTATGTATGAATAGTATTGGGTTTTTAGGAGTAAATGATACACCATTTTATATTGAAAATAATCATAGATAATTATAATTTACATTGTTTAAAAACAAACAAATTACTTCTCTAGAACTTCCCTCTGTATGAATAGGTAGTAGAAAACTTATAGGTGACCATTTTGGTTTTATCTACATAGTTCCTAGTGTTATACAGTTCAAAGTATAAGCACAGTTATTACTTATTAGTAGGACCGTTAAATTGATGCATTTGCATCTTTTTATCTAATGCTTACATTCAATGCTCGTCTTTATAGAAATTTGGTTCATGGAATATAGAATTTAATGGTACAATTTTTATTTTGCATTTGTTGGGAATTTATTGCTTTACGGTCCTTTTAATCATTTTTGTACTTTTTTTTTACATATATTTGCATTTTTCTTGTTGAAAGTTACACTTCATTGCACTATATACAGGGTGTCCCGTGAGGATTTACCTATTAGCCGTAAAGGGGGACTCGCCGCCCGGACAAAAACCGGTTTTTTGCCGTTTTACTTATTAATTAAAAAAATTATTAAAAATCAGGAAATTAATGAAATTAAAAAGTTGAAACGTCAATATTTTCAGAAAAATGAACTCTACAAAATGGCAATCTTCAATATTTTTTTAAATAATTAATTAAAAAAATAATTATTTTAACTTTTTTATTTGTAGTTATTTGTAGTGCTTACCTCTGTGAGTCTTAATAAGAAAACAGAATTACGATATCTCTATTATTTCAGGAGATATCGCAATGAGTAAATCCTCACGGGACACTCTGTATATACATAAGCTAAAATATACTAGACCTCGGAGAAATTTCTGTTGCGCCACTGTTATCGATTATTAATGTTCATTATCTTTATCGTTTGTTGTCGCAATCTACGATTATTTAATAAACTGTGGGCAGATGATATTTAAGGCCTGGTCAATCAGAAAAAATTTCCCAAAAGTTGATCAACTTATTTCAAACTGCAAAAAAAATATTTTTGAAGGCTATTTCCGACTTTGAGATTAAGGGCCGTTCTTACAATAAATGCCGGTAATAAAATCTGTTATCAGTCGGTTAGCGTTAACCGACACTTTACAGGACATTGTAAGAACGGCCCTAAAAGTTTGTAAAGAGCTAGCACCTATAATAATTACGATTTATGATACACAAATTATATAATACTTTTTTTTTTTGTATGACATACATTTTAAAAAAAACATTCAGTTATTATAAAGCAATTTTTGGTATTTTTGTGGTCATTTTTTGATGTTTATAAGTTATTTAAATATTTTTTTGTGTGTATTTTTTAAAGATTCTTAGGTCATCAAGTTCCGGTCCCTACTTATTAGTGATCTTGATACCTTCCTACACAGTAGTATTTATATCAATAGAATAGGTAAAGAATAGACTAATAAATAAATTGGTGGGTACTGCTGATAAAGGTGTTCTAGTTCTCTAAATGCTAAATTTGAATGTCAATATAATTTATAACAAGTAAACAACTATGAACCCATAAATAACATTTTTAATGAGACCCGAACAAAATGGTTGAAACATATATGTATCTGTATTGATTTTTAGGTTTTAACAAGTTACTAACTTACTTAACAACTGTTTCAGATATGAGTAAAAGAAGTTTATTTCTAATACTATTTATTTTCTACACTTATGTAACAATAATTCAATGTAATGAATTACCACCATGTTACAACCAGCCCGCGGAATCTTGTCCATTACAAAATAAATGTAAATGCGTGAAAACTGGTGAGTCAGCATTATTTTGCTGCCAAGTTCAGTCAAATGAAGATTTGATAAAAAACTTTGAGTGTTCAGGTATGTTTGTATAAAACAAATTATTACTATATACACAATTTTTAATGCACTTAAATTAAAATTAATACTCATTTGGGTTGTTTTGTATTAATTATTTAAGGTTATAGTGGAAAAACATAAATATTCAGGATTAAGGATTACAATTTTTTATTTATAACATCTGAATTTTAAAATATAGTCTTCTTATGAAATGTGTGACATACCTTCCTCAAGGCTTGACTCATTTGACATCAATATTCAATCAACACAAATGCTTTTCTTCCTTATTAAATTCTTATTGTAAATACATAATTATTTTCTAAATGCAAGGCAATTTTATAATATTTACATTTATACATTTGAAAAAACCACTTTAGTACCTATGTTAAATCTGTTGAGTATAGTGTATAGATAATTATTTATTTCTAAATATTTTAGGTGCTAAATTATCAACAATCACAGCCTTACACATTTACAATATGACAGCTGACAATTTTAATTTTGGAAAATTTTCACCGGAATTAAGCCGTTTGATCTCATTTTCAATAACAAATAGTTATATTAACCGACTACTTGGTCGTTTGGAGTATATGCATCAAATCACTTGCTTAAATTTATCGAACAATGCTTTTGGCACAGAATGGCAAGATCCTCTAGCATTGGAAAATCTTAAAAGTTTAGCTATGTTAGATTTTTCTAATGTAAATATATCAAGTTTACCTACCATAAAAAGTCAAGTGCCAATGTTTTGGCTGGATGTTTCAAGTAATTAAACACATTGAACTCATATGAAAACTAAAATTATTTACTAATCATTTATTTGTCAAATATGTTTAGATAACATAAAGATTCATTGTGCCAGTCTTCTAGAAATTATGGAAAGATCAAGAAATGCCAAGTATAAATTGTACTTTAAAAAATATAATGAAACATTTTGTATGTCATCACTGTCATTTCATTGGTTCAACTCTACTGAAAAGGTTGCATTAAATCAAGTGGAAATTATTAACAAGGTAACGTTAGTTCTTAAACTATTATTTAATTGAAAACATATTTATTTTTTTATGGCCCAATATAATTCACAAGAAATTTTAAATCTAGTGGATGTTACACATGTTCAAACTTTACAATTTGTTGTTTAATTTTAATTTGGTTGAGCCGAGGGTTCAGCTATAATTGAAATAAAGTTACACTATACAAGCACTGAATAAAAATAATAACATAAGTTGCTAATTTAGGAGATATTGTATAATCCAGCCCAAAGTTGTTGCGTGAGCTAAGAAAAAAAATATAGTGGCGGCACGACAGTGTATATTATCTCGAAGCAGGAGTGGCCCATTTAACCAGTGTACATTTTGGTGTTTTTTTTTAACCAGACCTAACTAATTATCTACTGAATCAATTAATTTTATTTTGAACAGGGTATACTGGCATAGATACATTTTTTATTCAATTATCTGTTATCTTATCTAGATGCATTTTCAACGCATTGTCTGTTATCTTATCTAGATAATTTTAAAGTTTTCTGTGCATAACACGTCTCGACACGGCACACAAAATAACGTGAACAAAATAAACAAAATACAATAGAAGTTCATTATAATTTAAAATATTATAATGTACATTTCTACTCAAAATAATTTCTCGCCAAGTAAATGAATAATTGAAACAAAATGAGTGTACTTTAATTCAATTTACTTAGCAGTGGTGTACACTCAAAAATAAAAAGGGGTAGCAAATTGAATCGGTTACCTCTATATTGGCTAATAGACTGATGGCTATAGTCTATAATAATTATTCAATAGTTTATTTTCAATATTTTTATATGTAGTAGAATTTTTATGATGTAAATATTTTTGAGCCAGGTACCAAAAATATCAGGGGTAGCAACTGCTTCTCTTGAACCCTCCAGTGTTTAAAGGGTGGTAGTGCTTAAAGATCTATTTTTTTTTTTTTTACTTAGCTGTTCTTTACGGTATCCGGACAATTTCCCACCGGACATTTCCCCCACGACTGTTTTTGACGTAGTGGGACATTTTCCCCCCATTTTGATTTTTTTTTTTTTCATAAAAATAATAAATTATAATTGTAAATGCAATTTTATATAGGTATGTACATAAAATATAATTAATAACTAATAAAAATGACTAATTTTTTTTTTTCATGAATATAATAAAACGTAAAAAATTTGTATATAAGTAAAATAGGTTAAACATTTTATTTTTTTTTCATAAATATAATAAAACAAACAATTAGTATATAAGTCCAAAAATTTCGACATAAAAATGATATATTTTGTAAAAAACATTTTATTTCTGATTCTTTTTTAATATCTAAGCATATATTTCTTAATCTTTGTTCATATTTATTTTTTTTGTAAAAAAAACCGTACCTGTTTTAATTTTTAATAGTTTATTAATTGCCACTGAATTTGACTTTTGTAGTGCTTCAATGAACATCCAAATATTTGGATGCTGAGTTCTTACTAAATATTTAAATTTATTATTGATACCTTCACTTATATTGTTTGTTCTATCTTTGTTTTTCTTTGTAGCATTATGCACATTCCATAAATAAGGAGAAAATAATGGTGAAGATCGCGATATTGAAAAACCATTTGATTTTGTAGTAGTTCTCTTGTAAGTCCCATTGACGTACGTTCTATCAAAGTATAACACTAGTTCATCGATATCTGGATCATTGAGGTCATTTGATAAATAATATAGCACAGACATACCTAAACAATTAGTATAATAAAACGTATATAATAGTAGTTATTGTAATAATATTATTAACATATATAATAGTACATACCTTTCTTAACATATATCAGAGGGAATAATACTAAACCTTTAATCATGCCAACCATTTGACGAACATTTTCATTTTCTTTATATTTTGTAGCTAATCCTATGCTTTGAACTTTACTCCAAATACTTTGGGAAAGATGATAATAAAATATTGAATATTAATGTCAACAAACACTAATTCAATAGCTTGAATAATTCTACTATATTAGGTAATTACAATATAATTATGTACAATTATATTTATGAAAAATAAAAAAAAATTATATTTTATTAAAAAAAAATAATTCCTTATTAAATAATAAATAATATTATATTATTAAATAGTAAACTTAAAAAAAAAATAGGGGGAAAATGTCCGCATCGAAAATATATTGGGTGGGAGAAATGTCCTATTACGTCAAAAACAGTCAGGGGGAAATTGTCCGCTATTCGTTTTTTACACATAGTTTGTCAAAGTGTTTTTGTTGTGTTATACTGAGAAGAACAATTTGAAACTGTCAACAATAATTATCTTGATTTTTCATTTGTAGTCAACAGCATATAAAAATTACCTATTTAATTTCTGTTAATAATTTAGCTATATGAAGACTGTCCGTGGAATTGTAGTTGTAAATGGCATGGCATAGAAATGATACAAGAAACAAAGACACGGCATACTGTAGAAGTAGATTGTTCAAATAAACAATTATCAAGTTTACCAGAAAACCTGCCAGAAAACACTGTGCTTTTAAATGTCACTAATAATAATGTAAAAAACAAAACATTTAACATTTATATTATATTTTTGAGCTTTACTGTTTTATAGATGATATTTTTTTTTTAAAGATCACCAATATAGATGTATTGGTAACAGATCAAACATACAAAACGTTGAGATTTTTTTATGCTGATGAAAATAAAATATCTAACCTTTTGTCATTGGAAGGTTCAACTTTTATAGAAAACTATGCTGTTTTGAGTTTGAAACTAAATCAATTGAAGACAGTAAGTATAGTTTCATAATAATAATAATAATAATATATTAATAACTTACTGATTTTAGATTTTGAGTGATGAATTTATTGGTTATACAATTATTATGTGTGTTTGTTTTTTGTGTCTGACATCAGGAGCAATAAAAATGCTTCAACATCTTCAACGTTAAGGGGTGTTTTCTGGTAGCAAATTGTGTCTATAGTTCTCTTTTTATTCTCATTCAAAAAATAAGAAAATTTACTTCAGTTTTTATAGCAATCTAAATATATTTAAATACATCGGCACATTTTTATAGATATTTTAAGTACAACATTTTAATTATATAAATATAATAAATAAATAACAATATTTCCTTAAAACTTTTTTTAAATTGTATGTATTATTATTATTATTATTTTCCATTCACAATGAAGTTTTCAAAATATTAAGTCTATCTTTAAGTTATTTATACTGTTCCACTTAGCTACAGTATAATACACCTAAACAATAACAACAATATTTGATATAATAATAATTTAAAAAAATATATATGCTATGTTATTGGCAAAAACTAGTTCAACCTACCATATTACTTACAGTAATATAAATACATTATAAAATATTCTCAGATGTAGAGGCTAACAGTCTGTTCAGAATCGTTTTTATATTATTTAATGTTTATCATTGAATTAAAATTTATCAAATTCATTACTGTGACCTACTCAATACTTAGAACCTACCATACATCAGAGCGACTTCCAATGTTTTTTTTTTTAATTTAAATATATACATTGTTATAATCATTGCTTATTATTATTTTTTTAGTTGCCTATGTATATACTTCAAAATTCCTTTACTAGATTTGAGGGACATATTGTGAACTTGGGTGGAAATGAACTTCAATGTGACTGCAGTACTGCAAATTCATTAAAGGTTTGTTATAATTTATAAAAAAAATGGAAATGTGATTTGTCATGATGACGATAGTGATAAATATTTAAATAAAAATTTATTTTAGATTTCATTATTAACTTATTTTTTCATTTTTCAAGATATTTCATTACAATATTACCTTTATCAATTCTGTTGATTGTAACTTATAATTTTTAAATATAAAAGTCGGCTCAATTAATTGGTTTTTCAACATAGCCGTTTTATGGTTCTAAAATTATTTAAATTGTATAGTTATTTGATAAATAATATGCTATTTATCTTATAAATTATAGTTAATGGTATTCACTATTCAATTATTATAATATAGCTGATTTATTGGATATTAAAAAATTCAATTCATTACTATAAATTCCTACTTTAAAATGTATTTATTTTTGATTTTTAATGTTATTGGGTAGCCAATAGGTATTGACTATGTAAATAAAATAAAATCATCATCAATTATTTCATTTTTATCATGAATGTTATGAAAGAATTCTGAATTGAAAAAAGTTTTTGTAATTTCAGATATGGTTATTAACAAATCATATTCATATTCCAGACTACAATGAAATTGTATGCAGTAATATGCAGTACAAAGTAAAAGTAAATCCAGTTTAAAATTATTATTATAAATATCTAGTTCTAGTGTTCAAATTGATTTTAATTTCTCCACATGGGAACAATAATTTATTGTTTAATGGCGAGTGTTTAATTTATAGGCGTGTCCAGATTTAGTTGATAGCATGGTAAATATACCTAAAAAAGAGTGGTGGTTTTGACTTTTCTCTTCTCATATAAAAATATGTATGTGTTGTTTTTTATTCTGTGTATTTATCAACAAATTAATGTAAAAAAAAATTTTAAAACCATAAATAGATTTTGGATTATCAAACATTTTTGAAAATGTTATATTTTTTATAACTTATAACGGTTTGCAAGGAATATTAATAATTTTTGAAGTACCGAAAATTTGTTTTCATCAAAGTTAATTAGAAGCCAGTAATATATTAATCACTTCTGAGAAAACAATAAAAAAAATATTCGTGATATTTTCAGTGGTAATTTCATGTACGAATCTTAGACACGCCTATGGCTTAATATCATTTTTGGTTTCTCAGATTGTCTTATTAGCATGACAGATTATCAATTCAATTAGTTAATTTTGTATTGAATAATTCATAGGTAATAGACTTGGATCAACAATTAGTGTGCATTAAAAAAGCTGATTGGACACACTATATGTATTATGTGATCATTGCTGAATTGTCGGTACTTTTTTTGTTGATTGGAAAAGTTTCATATGATTATTGGGTATTCAAAACGGCTGGATATTTGCCATGGCCTGCATCCAAAATGCCAAAGCTTCCTTGTGACTGGATATTTGAGTAATGAAGTATTTCTTCATGGGCTTAAAAGAAATATTGTAATACACGTTAGTAATCTATAAGAAGACTGTTTTATTATGAGCTATTAATAACATATACAAACGCTACATATGCTAACAATAAGTTACCTTAGTGCCTTAAACATTGTGCCTTGATATATTATTTATTATATAAGATTATTTTATTTATATAATTTAATTACTGTTTGAGATGTATTTCGAACAAAAATTATTTTTATTATTATTCATTAAGCTTTAATATGGTTGATCAAATTAAAATGTTCAAACAGACTTATCGAAATTGTAATGTTTTAAATTACTTAAACAAGTTCAGATCTTATTTTATATTTACGTACGCAGTGGGGTTCACGCCAAAGATATTAATAAATTAGCAGATTGATAAAATTCTCTGTTAATTGTAACTTAAAAATCTCTTTAGTGGGCTACCGTGTGTTATATTATATTTTATGTTAAATGTTTACATGTAATTTGATAGATTTTTATTTACAGGCTGTGATTGCATTATTGATTAATAGATTCTTTTTGTTTGTTTTATATATTTTATTGTAACCATATTTTTATTAATGAAAGTCAAGTTGTAACAAAATAAATAGATACCTACATTTATAATATTAAATTACTTATGTATAACATTTCAACGCGTGAAATAAAAACTAAAAATATATTACGCTTTAATTAATATTATTAGATAGTATTTTATTATTATTTTAGGTACGTTTTCGCTTTTATCTATTACCTTACTTGCGAGCGCGCGCGCGCGCGCGCGCGTGTGTGTGTGTGTGTGTGTGTGCGTGTATGTGTTTGGGCGTGTGCGTGCTTAGACTCGAGGTGCATCAGATTACTCAGTAATAAAATATAATATAATAACGTAAAATACGAAAATGTGTAATAGCCAATAGGTAATGTAAATTAATTAAAACTTAAAAAACACGTGCGACGGACGATACCTTGAGTTAACAAACGATCACAATAATAATATGATGAGTGATGACTGATGAGTATTGAGTGAGGTCGTACCTACATGGCTACATGTAACATACTTATTACTTATCGTCACAGTTGACGGAACACTGACGAATACAACATATTTTCAACCTACCCAATACCCATGTGTTAAATTATTGTATTCTCGGTATCTTTGGCTTGACATCATGTTCGAGTTGGTAGGTACCTCATATGTAGCCCGGCTGCATACGAATTGCATGCCAAAAAATAAAAATGTCCAAATTGCATGCCCCAAATGACAGACCCCTCCAAGAGACGGCATGCAATTCGGACCGGTGTTTCCGAATTGCGGACAAAGTGACAAAAACCATGTGAGTTGCGGACGAAATCTAAAAAGGTAACATACGAATTGCGGACACAAATATAAGATACTAATTGCGGATAATGTTACAATATTCACGTGGTGAAATCAGTAGAATATCATATATACAGGCTGTTTTAAAAACTATGACGATTATTAATAATGACGATAATCTATAAATATTTTATAAACAATTTTTTCCACAAAATTAAAACAATCTATAATTCAACAACATTTCAAAAATAACGATTGCTCTTTTGCAAGACACAAATATTTTTAACCCCACCTACCAATTTTTTTTTTAGCTATTGTCATAAGTTCTGAAAAAGTGGTGAAGGGAAATATTTGTGTCCACAACTAACGTAGTTTTTATTAAAAAAAGCTCTGTACGCAATTAGTATTATGACAACGAAGCTCGTGTCCGCAATTGTTATATTATAATTCCTAACCTGAATAATTCGTCCGCAACTAGTATGTGTCCATTCGGACAGACCCCTCCAAGAGACGGCATGCAATTCGGACGACCCGATTTATATTTATTTTTTTGGCATGCAATTCGGATGCACCGTGTAGCCCAATGCCCCGATCTCCCCGATCCATCAATCGCCGGATTTATTGAATGGACTATCATGGAACACTGGAATAATCTGGAGCCGAGCATCTTATTTATGGCAAAATAGGCTTTATTCGCATTACTTATTCATAACTGAATTTCATTATGCATATTATTTTTTGTTTTTTTCTTGACTCCCATCATGATATCCCTCATCCACTTGCTCAAAGGCACAGGGACTTTTAATGTTGCTTTGTTTACCATACGTCTAGTCATTACTAGGTGGAATATAGTTCAAAATTAAAATCAAATAACGTGAAAAAGGTTTTTTTGATTTTGATAGTCGTTTTAACGTAATAACATTAATACCTAATAATATACCACAGGTAACGTTTTTTAGTTATTTTTAATACCTGTAAACAATTTTGTACAGCTGTAATTAGAGTAAATTTTTTTTTTATTTACAGTAATCTGTAAATTAAAATTAATAATAATATCGATTTTAATTCTACAAAAATAGGTAGGTACCTTCATAATATATGGGCATATGGCAAAAAAAAAGATAGAACCAAAAGTCGAGTGAAACTGTGTACTTAAGTCAAAGTAGAGGCGTTTGTTGGTGTGCATGCTGTACTTTTTAAAACCATGGTCAATCTTTTTAAATCTTTCAAATTCGTAAGTATTTCGCATTTACCTAAATCTCGAATTAGTAATTAAGTACGTATGAAAAGTGATAAAAATTATTACTTATTCTGTATTCATTTTACCAAGCCACCTACCATACGGTTATACCCAGTTCACGTCGTGAACTTCACGAGTATCTATCTCAAGTATAATTTTTAAAAAATAATTTCCACACCATCCTAACACCTACAATATATTATTTGAATGAATTTATGAATCCAATTAATTTTTATTTTTAACTGTGTGTTAGTGGTTTTTTTGTGGTTAAAACCATAAGTACCTACTCAATCCATCAAATTAGATTTTAATTTTAAAAATTAATAACTAATTTGATAGATTGAGTACTTTTATAGGGCCTACATCAATAATTATTCTAAAAATGCACTTATTCACATTATACAATGAGATAGGTATACAATGGACAAGACAGTATTTGGATAGAATACTATAGAAGATGATTAAGACAACCATCTAGGTTACCTACTATAGCCTATAAAAGTATAGAACAGTGGCGCCGAACCTTTTTTAAACCACTGGGGTAAACCTTGTTTAAGGGCACCCACCTACCTACCTTTTATACATAAAAGCAGTCACTATAACTTATAAGAGGGCCCCCATATGTACACCTAGTCAAATTACCAACTGCTGAGACCTGGTACCTGTATGTGGAATCTGCGTTTAGATGGGTTGTTTCGTTAATGGTCTTACCAAACGCACCATGGTTTAAATGGTTTTTGGCGTTTTTGCATACTTAAAACCAAGTTATAGGTTACATGGTCATCATCAAACCTTTACCAGATCGTCAAAACTCGAAGTCCGTCTCTGAGGTCCATATTACTGATAAATTATGAATTTATGACAGTTGTTGTGACTTGCTATATGACAGGGAGACAAAGCTGTAGACTGTAGAGTGTAAATGTAGGTACCTATCCTGACTCCATTCTCAATGAAATGGGAGGTACCTAGCGCGTAATTAATTAATTTTTTATGAATACCAATATAGGTACCATTGATTAAAATGATTAAATAATAATACTCAGATCGATCACGTGTATAGGTATAGGTAGCCAGGTAGGTATATATGTATAGAAAATATCTGCATCGATACCTACTATATTATACATGCAAACATTGGCTAATGTATTTAGTGTTATACTAAAATCTTTATTTTCGTAAATAGGTATTCTAAATTCATAATAATTTGAACTCGAAATGCTCATCACAAAATTAATGTGGCCTTAAGCTTCTTTTTAATTCCAGTAAGAAAAAGTTATTAGCAATTTTGTGTTAGATACCTATATTTTCAACCCTTAACTCATAAAAGGTATATAAATTGATATGTTTATACATTTATTATAATTAAGTACTACCCATAAAATATAAATCATAATGCATTTAGATTTTTGAATTAATTGAATAATATCCCTGAAGAATGTTGTTTCATTGTTCACACCATTTGTGTAGGAGTTATTCAAAACTTTGGCTATCGCCTAATACCTACGTAATAGTTGAATTGTTGAAATTAAAGTGTGTGGGCCTATATGAGGGATATCCCATTAGCCTATTCCTCTGTCTTGTGAAACGTGATAAGATACTTTTGATAAGTATTCAAGTATACAGATACTATTATTTTGAAATTTGACGAAATACGTAGGTACTTGAATATTCTGTAAAAAGTATTTATAGATACTTTTAAATACTTTCAAATTTTTTAGACAACATTTTATTTTACTTTATAAATCAACTTAACTGATTATTTTTTTTTAGGTTTTTTCATGATTGACTTTAATTTTATAGAGTATTTTACACAGAATCATTTTGTTTAACTATTAATACATTACTCATAAAAATTATTTTCTTTATCAAATTATTTACATTTTTTTATAGTCACTCAACAGTCAAAATACGCATTTTGTGACTTCGTGTATTATTACGTGCATTACACATCAAAGTGCCCAGGTACCGTATTAAGTATTCACTAATGACACTAATAATTGTTTTTAAAAATATACTATTTTATTGTATGTAATATGTATACAATATTAAGTAGGTATAGGTGCTCGGGTGCTCCTAGAGTCCTAGACAATACTTGTGATATTTAAAATTGTTGTAGAACATATTTTCTGACTCAAATGCCCACTTAAGAAAGTATTTAAAATACTTTGTACAGTTGATTTTTTCAAAAGTATTTAAAATACGTGGATACCTATTTGATTACTTAAAAAGTATTTGAATAAATTTACTCATTTTTCCCTTACGAGTATATAATATAGTACGAGTATATACGAGTAGTATAAGTATTTACCAGTACATATATTTGAATTTAGATATTATGTTTTTATTGAACTAATTAAAATTCAGGTTTTCATAACATGCTACAATAGTACAATATTACGTAACTAAAAGTTTACCTATTACATTTTTTTCCCGCAATTCCTATT